GGCCACTCTTCAAAACCAGCTCTGAGCCAGACTCGAATCCTGCATCCCAACCACAGCCTCTGTTCAATCCCAGCTCTGAGCCAGACCCAAATCAAACATCCCAAACACAGCCTCTGTTCAATATCAAATCTGGTGGGTCAGTCTCCAATGCAGCATCCAAGCCGCAGCCACTCTTCAAAGTCGACTCTGGGCCAGGCTCCAATGCAGCATCCAAACCGCAGCCACTCTTCAAAGTCGACTCTGGGTCAGACTCAAACCCAGCATCTCTTCCATCTTCCCAATCACATCCACTCTTTTTAAAAAAGCCCAGCTCTGAGCTAGACCCAAATCAATCATCCCAACCACAGCAACCGTTCAAGATCAACTCTGGAGGGTCGGAATCAAATGCTACTACCGAGAATAGTAGCAACCAAAAACAGACACCACGCCCTTTGGACGCTCCCAAAGCAAACCAAGAGGAACTCCCCGAAGGACTGTCGATCCTCTTTGTAGACGACGACCCCATGATTCGGAAACTGACAGTAAGGGCACTGAAGAGGGTTGCGCCGGCTAGCTGGACCACCCACGAAGCTTCTAGTGGTGAAATGGCCCTGGAGATGTGCCACAACAATGATCAGGAATACAGGTACGCCAACGCAATGCTGGATACAGCAAGCTGGTCTCCGAGCTGCATGCGTGGACTCGACTCGACTCACACCACCCCCACAAATCAGCATCATTTTTCTAGATCAGTACATGGCATCTGTGACCAAAAGCCTGCTCGGCACGGAGACTGCCCAAACCATGCGCATCAAAGGGGTCAGATCCAAGCTCATTGGCTTGTCTGCTAATGAGCTTCGTGACAACTTCCTCATGGCAGGTGCTGACGAATTCATATTAAAGCCGAGTGAGTGGTTGGCGTCTGTGTCGTTGTTTTGCAATTGTTTATACCGGGGCCCTGTATAGTGACCCTTGTTGCTTTTCCCAAATAAAGGAAACTTATCTATCTTTTGCACTCATGTCTTTCTCCACGCTTTCTTTTCTCCTAAAATCTAACTACATGTAGTGCCTTGCAACCCTTCCAAGCTCAAGCCTTTACTGAACGGAATCTTGGATTTGCCCTGTAGTCGAGAATCTGTCTCTGCAAAAGTCCAATCTCCCTAATACATCAGCCGCCTCAGCCGTGCCTCCTGATGGACCCCAACGCCAGAAACTGCAAGCCAGGAAATCACCTGGTCCATGTCTTGAAGAATGACAGGATCAGAGGGAGCACGGTACGGTAGGAGCATGTGAATCTTCGAATCCACAGGGTCGTGCTCTTCTCTATGAGGGCAATCACATGAGCCTAAGCAGTCCTTCCATTTCCAGTTATTTGTTTTCCTCTACCAGTAGTGGCAACAATGAAACAGCCAGTGTCGCACCATTCTAACTTGGACTCCTTCATTGTGGTTACCTAGTGGAATAGACCAGATTGATGTACACATCCTGCTGGAGGCAGATCGGGTTCACCTCTATAGAGGCATCCATTATGAAACTGACAAAGCCAGTTGCCACCCAAGTATTGAATGTGGCCTGTGTCATAACAAAATCAGTCTGGTCATAGGAATTAGAGCATTCCCCCCCACCATTGTTTTGACCCAAGTTGTTTCCATCTTGGTCAATTACATCATAGAACTCATTGCTTGAGCCCAGATCACCCTGGACAAAAGTTTGAACAGTCACATCACTGGTGGCAGGCAACAGAGAATCAAAACAAAGAGAAAGTTGTTCCTATTCAAGGATACAGAGAAAGTTAGTGTTGGAAACAGACCCCCAGCAATGTAGGTGTTCACATGTAGCTCACTTACCCCATCTGTTGTAATTGGGCACACATCTGAAGTTGTAGTTGATGAACAAGACTTGGCATGAAAGGACCCGGCTTCAAGGGAAATTGCCAGGGAATGCTTACAATGGAATCGTCACCACCAAACCAACAACTGTCTCATCCACGGAACTCTGGGATTTTTGACTCGTCAAATTAATAGCCCCTTGTGGCCTTCAATAATGACAATCATGGCAAAAACGACAACAACAATTTTCGCCCTTATCCAACAAATACTACTCTCCACGCTTCGACTCGACTCCTACGTACGGTATGGTACTGTACTCCAGCGAGCAACCACTAAAGACAGGGAAAACCGACAAAATCTTACCATGCATGGCTCTATCCTTTCAAATGCAATGCCATCACAATGACGGCGATAATGACACTGTTACACTCGTGCCTCCTGTTTGAGACAAGCAAGAGCTACACCATTGCAATATAGCTGTCAACTAGCTAGCTAGCTAGCTAGCTAGTAGCTAGCTAGTTCACTACTACCAGGTACCGTACCAGTGCGAGAGGAGCCAAAACCAGCTGGTGGTTGGCATTCACGAGGTGAACCTCCCGGGACTCGCTAGAACGAGGTAGACGTAGAATCCCCTTTTAATTTTTAGCTTATTCTTTTGTGTCATCCCATGTCTACATCGGACTGCACATCGGCCTCCGTTCGCAGGTTATGAGCCCAACTCGTTCGTCACACTTGCACCCAAGCCGAGACTAGGTGGAGGTTGTTTACCTCACGTAGTGGAGTGAGTTTGATGCGATGTTGCGTTCGAAAAACCGATGGTTGACCTCTATCGTCATGGTCGGACGATGAGAGCTGGATCTTGCCGTTTTTCGGCAAATTCAGACAAGAGAATCAGGTCACATCAAGATGATGGTGTTGACCGCAAGACCGCAAGCTCAAGCTTGAGCTGAGCTCCACGTCGAAATCCAAATGGCTGACAAACCATTCTTCGGACGACGACGACCAGGTCAGAGACAACCTACGTTGTAGTCTCGCCGTACCAATCCTAGTGAAGTCTACGCAATCCTGGATACCATTCAAGGATGATGTGGCACTTCGAGCTGGATCCTGACCTGCAAGTTCGTCAGTTCGCTGGGTTGTCGCTCCTCTTTTTTTTCTTTTGAAGTCGACCTCCAGATCACTTCGAAAATTGCGCCAATTCCAAGCCGACCATGACGCGAACTAGCACTCAGCAAACCCGAGTAGAACAAGAGACTAGAGAACTCGAAGATGAAGAGCTCTCCATTCCCATCTACTCACCTCAACCCTTCCGTCCTCTAGGTCGCCGCGACTCTGGTCTGTGGCCCGACCTTGGACAACAGAACAACTGGATCGACGAAAGCCGACGAC